GAGTTTGTTGGATTAGCGTCTAAGTCCATAACTATTTTGGTATGTACTTGACCCGATTATGAGCATGGTCCTTTTGGGTTGCCTTCACCATAGCAATATGTAGGATGAATTAAGGAGAGAAAGGTTTAATTATGATTTATTAATATATTATGAGAATAATATATTAAAGGAGAAATCATATTGGTTAATTAATATTAGTCAAGAATTAATAAAGAATTAATTCTGTGGCTAAAAGAGATTAATTAAACTTAGGGGACTGGAATTGTAATTATAGGATAATTGCAATTGGGCTATGGATCACGTTGGAATAATAGGTTGGACGAATTCTATGGGGAAGCCCATTAGAAATCGTCCAAGGCATGTTCCAGAAGGGGTCCATGGGCTGCTTAGGGCTTAAGCAGTCAAATTAGGGTTTCCTTGTTAGATAACCCTAATTGCCTACCTATTTAAAGAACCCTTGAGACCCAAAAACATGGCTAAGTCTTCCTTGTTAGAAATCAAAATCACAAAATGTGAGGAGGTACACGATCAAGCCTTCGCCTTCCCGTGATCATCCGAAGTACCTGAAACAAAATCCAAAACTATAAGCCCGAAGCTTAGTGAGTTCCCCCAAAATACCAACGCCATACAAACCATAACCATATGATAACAAACAGCATGCATATAGAGTCTACAATATGACTGGACCGCCCTCACCGGGCCTTCAGTCTGTCTGGCCCACTCTCAGAACCTTCAGCATGTCTGGTCCGCCCTACCGGGTCTTCAGCCTGTCTGGACCGTTCTCCGGGCCTTCGGCCTAACTGGTATGCTCCATTGGGCCTGTAGTCTATCCGGGCCTCCCTAGGTATGGTGGCCTACAACACAAAGCAGGTCCGCCTCAACCCACCCCCAAGTATACAATCAACACATATATAACAAATTCTAGCATATACAAACAGTCAGACCGATCTAGTAGATCACTATTCATAGTATCATCCTATATACCACGATACTGACCTAACAGGTCACCAAACATAGCATCATGTTATATACCAGGATACCGACCTAACAGGTCACTAAACACAGTATCACCCTATATACCAGGATACAGATGTAACAGAGCACTAAGCATATCATCATGCGATAACCAGGATAACAATCCAAAAAGGGTCGGCATTGGTGCCTTCGACCCTGTCAGTATAGTGAGGAAAACTCGCCTCACAAGTAGTGCTGTAGTGTTAATATCCAACTCCCAATCACAGCCCCGAACTCAACCGCCTGTAACCACCATTTGACTAATTCCATCAAAATTCCAAATTACCAAAATACCCTTAGAAGTCAAACTTGGTCAAAGTCAACAGTCAACAGTCAAGGTCAACAGTCCATGTTGACCCAACTCGTCGAGTGCAGCTTACCGACTCGTCGAGTTCCTTCAGAACTCAGAAAACCGCAAAAACTCGAGTCAACTCGCCGAGTTACCAAACAACTCATCGAGTCCATGAAGTGTCCAGAATATTCGGGAAAACCCTAACCAACTCATCGAGTTGGCTATGCAACTCGTCGAGTTCCTTCAGCCCTTTTCTCATTCAGATGCTTTTAAGTGAAACCAAGGCTCCAAACTGTAGATCTAGCCTCCTAGGGTGAAGTTACCACGTAAAGTTGCCAACTTTACGTGCATGCAAGGTCTCAAGAGGCTAAAACACCCAAAACTAGTCTTAGGAAGAGGTTTAGGGCATGGAGAAGGGCCAAAGCTTGATAAAGTCGAGAACTTTATGTCCATGAGGGCTTAGAGGAGTCCAGATCTGAACTCCTTGCTTCAAAACGTGTTCAATACCAGAAATGCCTCAAGAATAAGCTAGAAATGACCCTAAACTCTTGAATGGAGGGATCTAACAAGAAAATGATCAAGATAATGACTTTTTACCTTCAAATAAATGCCAACCCAAAGTAGATGTTGGATCTACAAGCTCCTTATCGTTTCAAGCTTCTCACTCTTCAAGTCTCTTCGAGAAATGTACCAAACACACACTCTTTAGCCTCACACACACGCAAAGTAGGAGGTTATCTCGATTAGAGTTTGTTCCTGGACGTGAAGGTGGTAAGGGAGGCTGGAGGGAGGACTTAAGGTCCTTTAAATAGGGTGCAAACCCTAAAAATTAGGGTTTTCATAATCAACTCCAACTCGTCGAGTTGGGTCCTCCAACTCGTCAAGTAGGTTCTCCGGAATACGCGACCCTTCTTGGTTTCTACACGACGAGTTGGGGCCTCCAACTCGTCGAGTAGACTTTCTAAAGTGCACAAATCCCTAAATTTCATTCCTGGAAATCGGGATGTTACACTTCCTTTTTTACTCTTATTTTATAAAATAATAAAAGAAAGAAGACAAAACCTTTATATTTTATAAACCAAGTTTATAGAATATAAACTTTAACTTTTTTGGTAAAAGACAAAAAGAATTCATCTAGTCCAAAATGTTGTGTATGACTTATTAATTCATACCATATTAATTATATATAATGTTACTTGCTAATGAAAATTATTATTTTCTAAAAATAAATAATTTCCAATTTAATTATAAGAGTTTATTGAATGTTTATTAAAATCAATTTCTAATAAATAATCAATTATATCAAGTTGTTGTTAGTGTGACTCTTTAGTATCATATGTTAATTAGCAATATCACTTTAATATAATTCTTGAGCATATTAGATCTTTCAGAAACTCCTAGATCTTTGAGATCCATTGAATCTTATCAATGACACGTTTAATCTCGTTTATTTTTAATTATATGAAACTGCGCCGCACCTGTTGTCATTCCCCCAGTCAACATAACAACCATTTCCACCGTCGGAACCGCCAACCCCGAAAAATACCTTCGTGCACGTCCTACCTCGCTCGCTCACCTTTCAGCCATTTGACAAACATTTCCCCCTCTATCTACTCTTCGAACTGACTTCCAGGACCTTGAGGACAATGTCCATGTTAAGGGGGAAGGAATTGATACGTGTCTCGAGCCATACCGAAGGCCGCCTCCATGGCCGGACCCATCAAAGATGTACATTAAATGGGCAAGCCTTTTGTGATACTCTTGCAACACCTTCCATATTATCATTGTCATTAAAGCTTTGCATGGATATGTATGTTTGGAGTCCCACAATTCCATGTTACTACTTTATAGTTTTTCATGCATTTTCCCATTACTAGGAGATAGTTAGTAGCATTAATTCCATTACTCCATGTTTCTAAGTTTTAGCTAGCATTTTAATTTCTTTTGCTATATAAATTGGTGTATGTTGCATTATGGAAAATGTAGAGAAAATTGATCCAAATTTTAGTATCTTTGTCTTTGATCTTTGGAGACTAGCCATCTTGACTGTCTTTAAATCGACGAAGAGGTATTGACAAGATCTTCAACTCTTGTTTAGATTGTTTTTCATAACAATCAACCGATCTTAATTTCGGTTTCTGTGTCGCACATTGCTGTGTTGCAACTTCTAAAAATCATAACTTCTTCTTATGAAGTCAGATTTGGACATTCTTTATATGCACACTCTCGGTTTTGAGATTACTACGACTTTTTTCAAGACTGTTTATCCTAAATAATCTTCTATAAAAAATGTTTATTTACGTGACTGGTCGTTTATACTGTAAGGTGAAAATGAGATGTTACAAAAGTCAGGTTGTAATGTCCTATGCATATAATCTAACAGTTAGGTTATGTTTAGCGTGCCATAGTTAGCTGATAAGCTAGCTTATTTTTCGAGCTTTTTTATGTTGTTATGTTTGGTAAACCAAAAAGTAACTTATAAACTAGCTTTTTAAAAACTACTTAGACTATGTTTGTCGTACTAGCTGAAAGGTTAGCTATTAGCTGAAAAGCTAGCTGTTAAATAAAAAGCTAGCCGATAGCTGAAAAACTAGCTGATAAAAAATAACGTTTGATAAACTAGCTGAAATATATAAAATTACATAAAAGGACATGTAAGAGTATGTGTTTCTATAATTAATTAAGGGGTGTATTTGGAAAATTTTAAAAAAACTCATAAAAAGCTAGTCTAAGTAGCTTTTTAAAAAACTAGCTTATAAACTACTTTTTGGCTTACCAAACACGACAACATAAAAAAGCTCGAAAAATAAGCTAGCAGTGGCGCGCCAAACACAACCTTAGACTAACTTTTTAGGAGCTTTTTTAAAATTTTCCAAATATACCTCCTAATTAATTATAGTAACACATTTATTTAAAATGTCATTTTATGTCATTTTATATATTTCAGCTAGTTTTATCAAACGTCATTTTTTATCGGCTAGTTTTTCAGCTATCAGTTAGTACGTCATAGTCTTAGTGTTGACAAGTGAGTACTCACAGGAAAGGAACTTGCATTTAAATTAACATGATTTACAAATTGCATCCATCCGTATCATGATTTTGAGAATGTTGCATTCATCAGGATCATTATTTTGAGAATGTTTGCATTTTATTTTAAAATGCCACGGTTTATGCAATATGTGGAGAAAGGAAATAACACAAAAATGTTTACACACAATTTGACAATGGGTTGTGGGATATGTTATGTTTTATGTTATTCTTAGCATTTTACTCTCATTCGGGACGTAAAGCTTCACACTTGTTTTAATAATGGCATACATCTCAATATTTGCATGAGGATGATTTCTAGAAGTACGGAAGATTTCTAGAAGACTATCACTATGTGTACTAAAAGTCTCGAGTGGAGGATAACCATCTCCACAAAAGTTGGTATAGAATTTTCAAAATATAATGTCAATATATATATATATATATATATATATATATATATATACCAACTTTTGTTATCTCCACAAAAGTTGGTATATATATATATATATATATATATATATATATATATATATATATATATATATATATAACGGACAGGTTTATCAAAATGCAATGTCTTGATAAGAAAAAATCTTCAGTATAATGTTGCACCACAAAGCATGAAGATATAACGCTATGGCACAAATAAATGAAAATACATTGCTATTTTTTGTATTTAGCCATTCATTATATGTAAAACCTATCACAAGAATACTTATATCATCATTCAAATAATATTGTACAATTTTTGAAACACATATCATTACTTTAATCCTAAAAACAACTACAAGGACATATCAATCAAATTTAACCTACAAACTACAGAGTTAACGATAATGACGATAGGTTGGAGAATACATGCAACTCTCTGCGAATTTAACGAGATCTTTAGGACGAGGAAGATTAGATGCCAACCCTAAAAGTAACAAAAAAACAACATTTTTTATTAATAACAATTCCCAAATGAACATTTCATTAAGCATTTCATAATGCAAAAGTACTTACCAAGTTCATATGCCCTAGAAGCTACCTTAGCAGCAATAACCGCTGAAATCTTTCTAATCTTCTTGAAAGGTGGATATATAATACCCTTTGCGTACTCTTCTTCTGTCACTTGAGATGCCAAAGCTTCCGCTATACAAGACATGATAAATGAAGATGAGGACCCACAAAATACGCTCTATAACTTACTAGGAAAACACATGTGGGGACCACATAAAAGAAAAAGTCACATCAAGTTAGGTATTTTTCGAATTACCTGCCATCAAAAGGAACTCATCATGCACACGAATTGCACCACACATGATCAATCCCAACCCAAATCCAGGAAATACGTATGCATTATTTGCCTGAATTTAAAACAAAACCAGAGCAACATACAAAAGTTACTTGATCAAGTATATTCAATTAATCCCAAGTCATTAATTGAATATTCTGTGTATAAGATAAGATTTAGATGACCTGGCCAGGCACGAACTCTTTGCCATCATACATTACTGGGTCAAATGGGCTTCCACTAGCAAAGATCGCGTGACCCTGAAAAAATTGCAAACTCGTATGAGTATATGAGGATTTAATTTCATCACTTTAATCAAGGGTTCATAATTCATATTCGTTTTGGGTCTTTTAGAAGTAAAGATGATGCACACAAATTTTAATTAAACTTACTTGACTCCATGTATAAGCTTCCTCTGCTGTACACTCGGATTGTGAAGTTGGATTAGAGAGAGCCAGAATGAGAGGTTTCTACATGTCAAACAAACGTATTAAATTTCAAATTTAATGTAATTGTAAATAAACGACATTTTATTTTGTGTCAATGCAAGTTAGCAAGAGAGAACTAACCGCATTAATAGATGCCATCGCCTCAATAACTTCTTTTGTAAATTGTTTCCCAACTCCAGATGTTCCTATTAATATCGTTGGCTTGATTGCCTGCATTAACACACTTAATTAACAGAAGCAATTTCATAATTTACTTTTCATAAAAATCCTCATTTCGTAACCAAAAACAAAATATAAAAAAGTTTTTTTTTTTTTTTTTCATATAATCATACCTTGACGGCTTCCAAGAGTCCTTTCACGGGTGCATGATCATGAGCCCATGGTAGCTTAAAATGTTGTAGGGAATCTTTACGCGAGCTCACTATCAATCCCTACATCAAAGGAAACACACACACATACACATTTAACATTCATAGATCGTAGAAACAAGACTCATGAATCATGATCGTTTTTCAAGTACCCTTGAGTCAACGAGCCAAATTTTCTTTCGAGATTCTTCCACCGTAACTTTTGTCTACAAATAGCAATTTTTAGTAACAATTTTTTAGTCCAATTTTCAAAGGTTATTATGTTGCTATTTATTGCCGTTTTAGAAGAACAAAATCATGGAGTTACTCACCTTTTTCAATATCTCAAGTGAAATAAGCTCTGCTATACCCGTGCCAGCCTTTGAAACAAAAGAAAAAATACGATGACAACAAGCCCAATTATGATGAGGATGAGAGGGCATTAATGTCTTTTTGCTTAAATGTGAGAAATTGGTTCAAGAATATATATGATGCTGACCTCACCAGCACCGAGAAATAAGAACGTATGATCGGATAGAGTCCCACCAATTAATTTCAAAGCCGAAAGCAAACCTCCCAAAACGACACATGCAGTGCCCTAATTACAGAGAGGGGAATACGTAAATCACAAAACGAAAATTAGAAGACGATTTTTGTTCAAAGGAAGTTACCTGAATATCATCGTTGAAAACAAGATGACTTGATCGGTATTTACTCAGCAACTCAAACGCATTGTGGTTGGCGAAATCTTCAAACTAAAAAGACACCGTTGATTCTCGTTAGAAAAATTACTAATTTGCTTTTATTTACTTTTTCCTCAAATGTTTTTAAATATCATTTATCAAACAATACCTGAATGAGGACTTTTTCTCCATAGTTCTTCTTGACTGCGGTCATAAACTCCTCTAACAATTCGTTATATTCCTAAATTTAACAAAAATCAATCACCTTTAGCCTTTAAAAACTGTAATTATTAGAATTTCTGGAATAAATATTTAAATGGTAAAAAAAAAAAAAATGAAACCTCGCCAGTTGCTCTTTTTTGTTTAAGCCCGATGTAGAATTCATCCTTCAACAATGCCTCGTTTTTTGTGCCCACATCAATGGTTACAGGCAAGCACTGTAACAAAAAATGAAATCATGAACATGGTTATGGTTAGCTTAGCTCACTACTAGAAAATTACAAATTTACCCCATTTTCAACTAAACTTAAACATTTTCAATGTAAAATTCAATAGAATTGTATAAAAACTAAAAAAGACTTACAACAGAAGGGCGAACGCCTCCAAGTGCCGTATATAAAGAAAGCTTTCCAACTGGTATCCCCATCCCCTGTGATTTTTATAAACATTGCAAAAGTTATTAATAATTAGAAAAAGAAAATACATAAAAAAAAAACAAACACAAACTTTGCATTTAGCATCCAAAAACCATAAAATATACCGAATTACAGCAGTGAAAAATGTTAGATTTTACCTGGCATCCAAGGTCACCAAGCCCCAATATACGCTCACCATCGGTTACCACAATAACTTGGATATTCTTCTCAGGCCAATTCCTCAACACCTCAAGAATCTTTCCCCTGATAATTCAATCACCATTTAACACCAATTGTAGATTTACCAAAACAAGAACAATTTGAATTTTGACCAGGTCAACATACTTGTCTTTCAAACTGATATAAAGTCCCTGTTGACGCCGATAAATGCTGCCATATTTCTGACAAGCTTCACCAACTGTTGGTGTGTAAACTACTGGAAGTAATTCATCAACATTATCAATCAGAAGCTTGTAAAATAATCTTTCGTTCGTCTCCTGCACAAAAGTACATGTTAATTTTGACTTATTAAATCATACGATAAGATGATTGAAAAACAGAGGTTACCTGAAGATCCATCATGGCTATGTATCTATGCAATGGAACTTGGTATTGGCGAAGTAAATGCAAAGTTCTTTTTTCCTACAAAATCAAGAAATTAAGAGTCAACAAAAATAGTATAAACAGTTTTTTATTGGGATTTCTCAAACTACAATGGTGAATTTACTTGAAGTTCCTGAGTGAATACTGCAGGTGGCAAAAGGCCTCTCAAGTAATGCGCGTCTCTTTCTTTCTCACTGAAAGCAAGCCCTTTGTTATGTTGTGGGCTCCGCAACAAAGCATGCCCACTGAAACACAATGTTTATATGGATTTTGTTACACTTTGAATTTCGGTTTTCTAATGTGGTAAATTGTAAAATAGTAATGAATTTATAGACTAAAATGATGACCTGGCAACAGAGACATTCCAAGGGGTAAATGGTTGACCATCATCATCATCATCATCATCAGTTGCTGCATTATCATCGTCTTGATTACCCGCCATTACTGATAGACTACTCTTTCTCTCTCCTTTATCCCCCAAAACTCCTAACAATTGTCTCTGCAAATCAGACAAGCTCAACAACACTATGCAACAACAAAACTGCAATTTAACCAAAATTATAACTCAATAAATACAGGATGCCCACAAACCATAAATCAAAAAACAAGAAATTAGAAATACTTTAAATCAACAATTAATGTATGACCTACCCACTTATAAAACCTTTCTACAGACATGCAAGTTAACAAAAAGTTTTATTATTTGGGTCAAAATTGAAAATTTCTGTACATTCAGACAAGTTCAAGAACACAATGCAACAAGAAAACTGCAAATTGAACAAAATTACAACTTAAAAGATGATACCCACAAAGCAAGAATCAAGAAATGATACCCATTTAGATTGACTAATATCGGCTAAATTGAGAAGGGTAAATTGTGATAAGTAACAAATTACTTCCACTTTACTCTTTTTAAAATCGTTAGTTTTCGTTGTGATTATTTTTGGGTAATTTACACAAAAATATCGTAATTTGTCGGGAATTTCAATGGTTTATTTTAACAGTTTTGAAAAGTTGGATGAATTTTGTAACGGTTATTAAAAGTTTCATAGTTTAAGGAACATTCTTAAAGTCACGTGACCAAATTAGAATTAAAGTAAAAATGCGTTGCTGTTTATTTTAATTTGCCGCCACTTGAAAATGTGAAGCTTTTGATGTTTTTTAACAAAAATTAAGAAATATATTTCCTACCCAAGTAAAAAAATCAAATCTTTTTGGACTTATTGTACACAAATTCAACTTAATATAAGTGGGGATTGCAAAATTAAAGAAATATTTACATTCTGCAAATGAGATAAGCTCAAGAACACAAAACAAGAAGAACAATGTCACATCGAAAACATCAAGAAACATAGCCCAAAATAATACGAAATTAAGAATTAATTAATAACATTTTAGATTGATTGTTTAAAAGGAAATGTATGACCTACGCATTATAAAATATCAAATGTTTTGACTTCAATTCTTCAAATTCAAAAAATGTATCATTAACCCATTAAAGAAAATTAAAATTTTAACTTTTTGTACACGTTTCAAGGAATATACGCATACCCACAACAGAAATATACAATTTTTATATTTTGTCTGCAAATTCAACTGTTTTATGAAGTGGGTTTGGGTCAAAATTGAAGAATTGTTAAAATGTAGGTCATCAAGAACAGTAAATTTGAAGAAAAAGAGGTCGTACCAGAGAATTGATTCTCTTGAAGGATGACGATGAGGCCAGCATCAAGAACTGTTAAGATTTTTCCAAAATTTTAATTATTTTGTGTATGGTTGGAAGTAATCTGGTATCATATAGAGAGAGAAAGTAGGAGAATTTGGCCCTAATATAATAAAACTTCAAGGTTCTTCCATTTCTTTCTCCTCCTTTTCTTTCTCTCTGTCTCTCGGTAGATAAGATTTTGCATAGAGAAAAGGGTTGGACCATATGTTGGCCAAGTGTAACTTTGTCCTTTTTGCCCATACCTTTTTATCCATTTTATATTTTCCTTAAAAGTAGTTTGATCACAGTAATTAAATATTAACGAGTAATTCTTCTATCCCAACACAAAAATATAAGGAGTTGTAATATCTTATTGCTTAGATTTGGTTATTTTATTGATAGATACTTCTAATACAATACGGATGTGATTGGATTTTTTTTTACTTGAGTCTCTTAAATGATAATAGATCAGAGCCTAAGATATAGGAAGAACTATGTATTTGTATAGCACATATATAGATGTGAATGTTATTCTTCTAAGTTAGTTATAATTAGACTAAAACACACGATTGACGATTTTTGCAAATATATATTTAGAATGATCAATAGAAGGATGTAATATCAATCTTTTCTAATTATTTACTACCATATATCAACTACAAATAGTTCCCTATAATCAGATACATATGTTGTTACCTTCTAATTTCAACAATTACATGTATGAATTGAGAGAGTACCTCTAAGAGCTGCCGTATGCAATTGCTAATAAGTTGATAAGACATTGCGATCAAAGAAGGAATTAAGTGTGTGATAATATTGGTGATTTGTGAAAAAGGAATTATTAGAATTGATGTGTTCGAAATCTATGTAGATCGTATGCTATATATACACGAGTATTGGTTAATGGAAGATGGCAAAAGGCAAAACATGGAGTATGAAATGAGAGATATTATGCCAAAGTAAGGAACTTTGTTCCTTTCTTTTCTTCTTTTTATATATTTTCATGGGGTCAAGTTTGATCTACCAAATGGGTAAGAATTACATGATAGGATTATAATCGAGTTTTGTAATCTTGTTTATCTCGTTTGCGTGGTGTAGATATTGAGGAACAGATAATAAGGATGGATGAATATGGAGATGAATAAATTTGAATTTATAAACGGGGCTCTAAAATCTGAATGGATATATATAACAAGTGTATCTCAAAATGTGTATTTGTTTCGTATGTGTGTTTATATATGTGTACATGAATGCTTAAAACATATATCTTATGTTTGTGTTTTTTTTATGTGTGCTATAAAACTTAATCTTTAAAATTTATAATTGTAATGTTACGAAACAGTTCCAATTCTTTGTATTTTAATATGTGCTTTAAAACCAGTAATTGTAGAATTTAATGTGTGCTATGAAACTTAACAATCATCGTTACAATTGTAATGTATATGTCTGTATATATTTGTGTTGTAATCACAATAAAGTTCAAGTTAAATATTTATTAAGAAGTTTAAGAGACAAAACATTTTTTTTGGAACAACTCGAAAGCCTCCGGCAAGACATTAGAGAGCAAAGAAAAAGAGACCTTTCCTCCAAACACAAGGTCATTTCTAAAACACAAAAATACCCACCAAGCGGTATATGATTGTATCCATCGCCCTTTTTCTTCTTGTTATTTAAAACCGAGGAATCCACCCCGGTATGAAATTCAAAATTGACACCAAAATAAGGTGAGCAATATCAATCCATTTTGAAAAAATCTCACTACACGCTCTAATCTTCACTTCACATTTCAAGAATAGATGTTTCATGTCTTCTGTATCACCCAAACAAATTTGACACTACACCATATGAACATCAATTCATTTATCAACTAGATTTTGTCTAAAAACCAAACGGTCTAGACAGTAATAATCTGTAACACTCCGACAAGTTAATACAAAGTACATGCAAAAAAATTTATTTTCAATTTATAAAACAGCTCGGTGTATATTTATATTAACCAATTGTATACAAGTAGTTACAAAAAGGATCGTATACCATAAAATTATTTGTAGATCCGAATCAAACCTAACCATTCATCTAACAACTCTTCCATCTCTCAACTACTTGTTTTATTCTATTATTGGGTTTACTTTATCCTTAAAAACCCCAACAACAAATAAAGGTTAAGCTACAAAAGCTTAATGAGTAACCTACTCATCATACACATACAACATCTACATAATCATAAGATTAAATCAACATCAATAACTATAACATATATAAGCCTTTTAAGATTTTTGGTCATGTCAATCCTTCTGAACAATATCACTTATGTGGTTTTAAGCCACTATCTACTATTATTTTTATTAACAAATTACTAACCATGGTTTCACCATGATATATCTATAGTACCTTGCTATAGTTTAATCAAAATTAATCAATACTTATCAAACATAGGTCTCAACACAAAGACTTATCTAATAATTAATCAACGATATCCATCTATGATATTACGGGTACAAAGGCTACCATTTCAATTAACAACAATCAGCTATGGTATTACGACCGTAAAGGCGACCATTGAAAATCAGCAACTATCAACAATGGGTCTTGCCACAAAGGCTCACTGAAATAAAGACTCACCGATTAAATTATCAACTATCAGCAATGACCAACAATAGTTTCATCTATATAAGCTTACCATACTTTCAAACAATAAACAACTATAAATTTAGCTTTACATAGTAAATAATTAGCTATGATTTCATCTATACCATCTTACTACATCATATAACAAATGATTCGCTATAATTTCAGCTATACCAACTTTCTACACCATATAACAATTAATTAGCTATAACTTATTAGCTATACCAACCTACTACATCATACATCTATTATTCAGTTATAATTTATCAACTATACCAGTTTACTACATCATACAATATATAACCAAATATAAATTTAAGTTATAGCAACTTACTACATCATACATCAATTAATCAACTACAATTTCTCAACTATGTCAGCTTACAATTTTTCAACTACGCCAACTTACTACATCATACATCATATAATGAACTATAGTTTATAAACTATCAACTATCAACTACGGATTCCAACAAATTGTCAGCTATTATCAACAACATCTTTCACTAATTATTAGCTTATCATTATACTTTTATCAATTCACAATATCCCAACAAATTCTCATACAATAATATCTACATATGTAGATAATTACTATCAATGAGTGATACTTACCTTAAGATGTTATATATATATATATATATATATATATATATATATATATATATATATATATATGGATTTCTAGCTCTTGAATCCCCGTATTAACTCTCTTTTTTGAAATCGTCAATAAGAACACACTAAATTGAGTATCATAGCCCAGGGTACAACCATTATTGTATCAACTTACTCTAATACTTTCATATTTTGTATTTAAGGGCTTTCACCAACAATCAAGCAATTAACCCTATAAATGTTTTTATTAATCCAAGTACTCATCGCATAAGAACAATTAGAACTTAAGGTTTACAAAACCTCCTCTAATCCAACCATTTTTAGCTAGTATTTACAAGAAATAAGGCAGCTTACCTTGATTCAAAGGAGAGTGAAGTAATTATTGTAATTTTCTCTTGATTCTCACCACTTTACTTCAATTAAGTGTTAAGAAGCCCTCCAAAATCAGATCTCATATACCAAAGATCTCCTAGAAGGTGTTAGACGTGTTTCTAAGAAGTTCGAACTCAAAACACAACTCATGTTCCCCAAAACATGGTTGTGTTTTGGCCAACTATGCCTAAAATAGCAACCTCATTTATTAGAACCCGTTTACACATATTTCTTAGAATTTGACAATGAAACATTGTAGCATCAGAATATCAGGTATTTCCCTTTTAGCGTTAACCTATTTGAAGTGTAACATCCCAAAATTTAAGACCAAAAATTTCGTTTTAATTAAGTTAATATAAAACCAACAGTATAAGAAAACATCCATAATAACATATCATGTCAAAGCCAACATGTCAATAATCAAAGCATGTCATCATAAACAATATTATAGTATAATCCCAAAGATCTCATGTGCGGAAAACATAGTATGATGCGTTGCGATTGAGCCGGCCCCTTTCCTTTGAAAGCACAGTACTTGAAACCAAAACTGAAAACCGTAAGCACGAAGCTTAGTGAGTTCCCCAATCATACCACATACCATACAATACACATACTGTCAGGCATATCCGGGTGCCCGACCTACCCCTTCGGTCCTACCGACCGGATACTGCCGAGCATATCTGGGTGCTGGCCTCCCCTTCGGTCTATTTCAACTAGGGGTGTTGATCAGGTAATATTTTCAGGTTTCGGGTAATTCGGGTTTTTCATGTTAAAAAAATTACCCATTACCGGACCCAAATTAAGTTCGGGTAATTCGGGTTTGGGTAATTCGGGTAGTGGGTCGGGTTTGGGTAATTTGGGTATTACCCGAAATATTTAATTTTTTTTGAATGGCACCTGAAAATAAATTTAATGAAATAAATATGTCGTGCTCTATCAGTCTTGTTTATATAAACAAATGAGGCATAAACGAAATTACTCAAACTTTGAACATTGAGATTTTTTAGTCAATAATACTTGAGATATAAAGTAATCTTTTAACAGCTTAATCTAATCTAATAAGATGTTAAAAAAACAAATAATTAAAGATCTTAGTTTAAAATGTTTAAGATAATTGTAGCCATAAGCTTTGCCATGTTCTGAAGTTTCGTCAATATAATGAGTTTGTTAGTTGCAATAAAAACTATAATCTAGAAAACAATTAAGTTTTAAAGAACATGGTGACATATAAACAAATGTTTTTAATATTGTTGGTGCCATACTTCCACAATAAAAGAGATTCATGTTTTACAATAATAATAATTAGTTTAAACGGGTTCAAATATGCTACAGAGTACAAACTCTACGAAAGAAAAAAAAATTTTAATAATTCGGGTAATTCGGGTATACCCGAAACCCAACAAACATACCCTATACGGCCCGACCTGAAAAAAAAATCGGGTTACCCAATTACCCGAAAAAATTTACCCGATACCCGAAAAAATCGGGTGGGTAATTCGGGTAACGGGTATTTTCGACAGGGCTAATTTCAACCGGATAATTGCCTGGCATATTTGGGTGCTGGCCTCCCCTTCGGTCTATTTCAACCAGATAACTGCCTAGCATATCTGGGTGCTGGCCTCCCCTTCGGTCTATTTCAACCAGATAACGGTGACTATTTCACCCCTACCACTACCACATAAGTACTAGCATATAAACATATACATATACTACCCAACATATCTGGGTGCTGGCCTACCCCTTCGGCCCTATCGATCGGATGCGGGACTATTCCCTACTGTCACTATCACATAACATCATACCATGCTAGCACATAAAACATAACATAACATGCCAGACAATTATCACAAAGACAATCATCCAATCAATCAACCCCTACTAGTGGGCCGACATTGTGGCCTTAGACCCACTTCTACTGGAAGGTAACTCACCTCGAATGTTGAAGCTCGTTGCCCGAACTCCCTAGCTGCTGCCCTGGCAACTCCTCAAGCTATCAATACCACAATATCACCCAATTAACAATTGGGTTCTAAACCATGATCCATAATCCATACTTGGGGTAAAATGACCATTTTACCCCTGGCTCACAAGATACATAACTAAGGCCCAAGTCCAAAGCCAATCAAGCCCAAAACTCCAAAATCCATAAAGACCCACTAATGGCCCAATTTGCAAAATTGGGACCAAACCCTCTAATGGGCCTTACCCTAAGCCCAAACATATTCTTGGCCCA